TCTACAAAAATCTTTTTCAATTGGAAGAGGAGGTGAAGACCCCATTGTGTTCTTCGTTTGGGAGCAACCTTCAGTCTTTGTTTTTTTCTCTCTTCTCTCTTGGTTGCTGTACCAAGAAGTTTGTGGTGGCAACCAAATGCAGTAAAGGCTTTTTCTAGATTTGTGGTGGCAGCCGAATGCAGTAAGGAGTTTTCCTCGGTTTGTGGTGGCAGCCAAATGCAGTAAGGAGTTTTCTCCTAAGTTTTTTCTATGGACTGTAGGTCGTGGAAGGCAGGTATGTACTGTTACATTCATATCTAAGTGTTTGACCACTATGAATGTCACAATTTTGAGGTTGTAGGGGCTGGTTGTCTCCTCTTATAAGCTGAAGTGTTTCGGCTAAGGTTTATTGACCTACAGTCCGGATAAACCTATATTTGAAACCTTCTTAAACTATAGAAGTACAAACCTTCTATCTCAGTCTATTTTTTGAAAAATCAGCAGTAAAGTTTTTTGAGAAAAATGGCTACTGAGGATTCAGCAACCTCTGGTATTACTTCCCATCAAGGAAACCTAAATGGAGGAATGGACAGCATGAATTTCTCTATGTCTATTACCCCCTTTGATGGCCTAAATTATCTGGAATGGTCCAAAGGCATCAAACTGTATATCACAGGTAGGGGGAAGGCTGGTTACATAAGTGGAAAAATAAAAGAACCAAAGTCTGGTACTGCTGAACATGATCGATGGGATCAAGAAAACAGCATGGTTATGTCATGGTTGTTAGGTTCCATGCTGTTCATGTAAAGAAAATTTTCATATGAGCTGGCACAGCTTGTGAAATTTGGGAACAAGCCAAGGCAACCTATTCTGAACAGAGGCACTTTGCCAAGATTTATCAGCTTCAAGCAGAATCATCTACTTGTAAGCAAGGGGACCGTAGCCTATCTACATATTGTTCAACCCTTACATCTGTCTGGAAGGAGCTGGACTATTATCAGACTATTGAGTGGAAGAATGATGAGGATGCACAAGCATACAAAAAACTTGTCTCCCAACAGCGAGTACTTGCTTTCTTGCATGGGTTGAATCCTACTTATGAACCTCTTCAGGTGCAGATTTTAGAAAGCAGGGAACTTCCTTCAGTTCAGGAAGTATATGCCCTAGTCCAATTTGAAGAGAGAAAAAAGAATCTAATGAATGTTTCTGAGGGGGAGCAACCTATTGCCTTGGCTGCAAGAGGGGGTAACATTGGAATGAAAAAGGGAGAATCAAGGAAAAGTGAGGACAAGAACAAATTGTGGTGCACGCGCTGCCAAAAGCCTAGACACACCCGAGAAACTTGTTGGGAGTTAGTGGGGAAGCCCAAGTGAGCAACCAAGAATCAAGACACTTCAAAGAAGCCTTCTCAGAAGAAATTTACTTCTGCAAATCTGGCTACATAAGATTACCAACCAGATAATTTGGCTACTGGATTTTCCCAAGAGCATCCTAGTGGTTCTGATCCCAAGGAAGACATCATTAACTCCTTCAAAGATTATTTGGATTTGTATGGTAGGATTCTCGGGCAGATGGATAGGTAGGTTCCTACCCCTTCTACTTCATTTGCTTCTACATCAGGTAAAGGTGCTTATGCATTTCATGCGTGTACCTCTGCTCCTGAGTCATCTTGGATCATTGACTCAGGGGCATCATACCATATGACTAGTAAGTCAAATTTATTTCAGACCTACACTCTTCTCTCTAGAACAGATAAAGTTAGACTTGCTGATGGGTCTCTATCCACTATTGCTAGTCCTGATGGCCTTGTTTTGCCCATGCCCTTCATGTTCCCAAACTTCCTATTAATTTGTTATCAATAAGCAGTATTACTCAATCCTTGAACTGTTGTGTAACATTTTTTCCTCATTCTTGTGTTTTCTAGGATTTAACCTCAGGGAGGATGATTGGTAAAGGAGATATGGTTGATAGCCTCTACATCTTGGAGAATAAAGCTGGTCCTGCGGCATTGGCTTTTGTGAGTCTTATGAGTTAGTCTAAAAAAAAGTCAACTATGGTTGTAGCATAATCGCCTTGGTCATTTGTCCTTTGAGTCTTTGAAAGTCATGTTCCCTGAGTTGTTCAAGTTTGTGTCTATCACTAGTTTACATTGTCAAATGTGTCAATTGAGTAGGCATTATAGAACAACTTTTCCATCAAATAATAAAAGATCTACTTTGCCTTTCCATGTTGTCTTTTTTGATGTTTGGGGCCCTGTAAACATACCTACTGAGGGTGGGTACAAGTATTTTATCAGCTTTATTGATGATTATTCGAGATACACTTGGATATATTCTATGCATTCCAGAGAAGAAGTACCCAAGATTGTGCAAGATTTCCACTGCATGGTTTTTACTCAATTTCATGTTGAAGTCCAAATTTTCCAATCAGATAATGTGAAGGAATATTTCCATCATGACTTAGCTGAGTTTTTCTCCTCTCATGGATCTCTTCATAGAAGCTCATGTGCCAGAACACCACAACAGAATGGCGTTACCGAAAGGAAGAACCAACATCTTCTTGAAGTTGCCTGCAGTATGATTCTTCACATGCATGTTCCAAAACGTTTTTGGGTTGATGTTGTGATGGTCGCAGCTTATGTTATCAATCATATGCCATCACGCCTCTTGCAATACAAGGCCCCACATCAACTTATTTTCCCTCAATCCCCTTTATTCTCTATTCCCCTACGTGTGTTTGGTTGTAAGTGTTTTATTCATGATCTACCTCCAAACTAGGGTAAATTGGATCCTAAATATGTTCCATGTGTTTCCTTGGGTTATCCATTTTCCTAGAAGGGATACAAATGCTTCAATCCTGTCACACATTAGTACTTTGTATCGATGGATGTGTCCTTTTATGAATTTGAATCCTTCTTCCAAGCCTTTCCTCAAGGGGAGAACAGTGTGAAGGAGGAGAGGCAAGCTCCTCAAATTCCTCTTCCCTTTATTCCTGACTCCTCTCCATTTCGTATCTTCTTGAGGCACCGTAAGGGACAGCTGAATTCAAAGGCTGTGGAGCAGCTTGAGACTATACATCCAGCACCATCTAACTCCTTGAAGGAAAATCCAGGTACCCTTCTTCCCTTTGACATTACCGAACCTATTGTTGTTGATGATTCTATTAATGACCTTGATGTCCCAATTGCTCATAGGAAAAGAGTTAGATCATGTACTACTAAGCATCCTATTGCCCAATTCTTATTGTTATGTTTGTGCCTTGAATTCTTTGTGGTGACCCGCTTCAAGAATCCACTCTGAATTAATTTGAAAACCCGAAGGCAAATTTGGTGCGGGGGCGCAGCCTCCGCGGCGGTATGGACCCGACCCATATTCATCTTATAGGTCCGAACTGAATATGAAGAGTTATGTATTTTCGGGGGTTTTCTCTCTTGTACACAGTGTTTGAGTCTTGTGAGGGACGAGTGAGACATTGGGTGTATTTGGGGCTTAGGGTTTTATGTGAAAGCACAACTCTATATTTCTTCTCCATTACCAACTTCATAGTGGATTTCTGTTCCTCTTTCACCCGTGGGTGTAGGCCATAAGCCAAACCACGTAAATCTGTGTGTGTTCTCTGTGCTTGTTTCTCTTTATCTTTGTTTTACTTTCATTTTGAGTGGCATTCGAATCTGTTTTCTTGGGTTTTTATGCAACATTTGTCCTATGGAAAGATTGCACCCTCATTTCGTGCCTTTTTGACTGCCATTGATTGTGTCTCCATTCCCAAAAGTGTTGCAGAGGCCTTATCTATACCTGAAGTTGAGTTAGGCTTAACATGTTATCTCACCTATTGGAGATACTCTTGGGTCCATCCAAATGACTTCATTTTTTATCTTATCCTTTCTAGTTTGTCCACTCATTCACCTCAGCATATGCATTTCTGCCATACTCATTTTTTGGGCATGTTGTTTCTTGATTGCCAAACACTACTCCATACAAAAAATGATTGAAAAAACACAATGATAGATAATCGCGTTCATTAAAAAAAAAAAAAAAAACTCTACTCCATACAGCAGGAATCATTGGTGTACCCCTTCAGTTCAACTTAAGTGTTCCATATGCATGCTACCTTAACCAAAAAGTGCATAGTATTTGCTCCATCTGGAAACAATTGGCAGCACGATTCAAAAAAATGGAAGTTTGAAGAATTATCATACTGCCACATACATGCTCATAAAAAGGGCCTAAATATTCCATATACATATGGAATTGGAAGAATTGTCACCATAAACCTCAGAAAACTAGAGAAAGGCTTTTTTTTTTTTTTGCAGAGGAACATTTCATATAACCTCACAAAAAGGGCATGTTGATATTTTGTTTCACCAATGCTTAGGCAATGTATCAAAGAGAGAGAGAGAGAGATCCAGATTGCTGTTACATTTTAGCGTTGTTCAGGCATTGGGAATGGTGGAAAGATAGATTAGAATAACAGAAGAAAGAGTCGCACCTGCTCTTCAGACAAAACATTTTGACCAAACTTTTTCTCAGAGAGGTAAGTCATTTAACCCTTGGCTGCAATAAACTTGAGCTACAAATTAAAGTTCTGTTGCAGCACTGCTGGAGCATCAGCAGAACATTATAACGATGTCAACATGTTAATATCAAATTCCTTGCTAACATCGTTGTTCACGAAATCCACGGTGCAAAGTGCATAAAACTCGCATAACATTTCAATTACAGTTATCAAAATCTTCCAACTATACGATAAAATGGCAGAAGTAATCCAATTCTTACGCAATTTTACAGCCAAGTCCGTTTTCGATCACAACACCAACAAACTCGATAATTCTAAAGGCAACCAGAAGAATTAAAATAAAAAAAGAGATAGTGATATATTCAGAAAGTTTACAAAATATACAAAAAAACTCGCTACTGCTTCCGAATCGTCAAATCCATAAAAAAAAGAAAGATAAAAATAAAATGAAAAAGAAAAAACAAAGATGAATAAACACAGAAGATCAGGGATGGATCTAAACCAACCTTGAATTTAACAGGTAAATTGGCCTCTCTGTCATTGCAGTAGATCGTGCGATAACAGGGCGCCTGGGGCTGGACCCGACCAAGACGAACGGTTTGCAAAGAAGACCGACTCTCGCTCCCAAATGAGGTCCTGGAAATGGTTCTGGACCCAGCGATGCGTGATCTCGACGACCTAACTCTTTCCCATCCGCTCATTGTAGAATATAGCTCGATACACGTATCGAGATAAAAAGAAAAAGAAAAGAAAAACAAAGAATTCAGAAAACGAGAGAGAACGACGAGCAGGGGGATGAAAACCAGGATTGGATCGGTTAACGCATCAAAATTTTCTCGTCGTTCCCTCGTGCACTAACTCCTCTCTATGTACGGACTAGCGCCAACGATAACCAGTAATGGTGCATTCAACACACCCCCTAACTGCATTTTGATTTTGCCCCCTTTTATATCTTTTCTTTTTTTATTCTATTAATTCTATTCTAGTGCCAAGTTCAACATCTTTCATGCGCGTGCCGCTCACTCGCTTGTCCTTTTCCCCATCCTGTAGCGGGTAACTAACCAAAACAAACGAGGAAGCCGTTTTTTGCGATTCATGTCGTCGTCTTGTCCCCACACCATAACATGCGCGTAGGATTGTTGGCGGTTAAATTACCCGCCCAATAAAGCAACGCTAAAGATTGGGAGTTTGGGACCGGGACTCCGAATGACCAACTAACTGCACACGTTCGTTATAGGAAAAACGGACAAGTACGGATACACACGATGCAGAATTTTGAATTCCAACCCCCTACTATAAAATTCTGATCTAGGCTGATTGGTCATTCTCCCTAGTAAAAATCTATGATGCGAAAATACATGATATCGGGAAAAGACTTTGACCAATCAAAACCTCCGAGGAATTTAGATGAAAACCCACCTGATTGGGTACTGTTGAGTGTTCATCGTCGAAACAAATTGGGATGCCGGCTGTCACAGATTTGGGAATCTTGTTATCTATCGTCCATCGGATCGATCATCTTCAACCGTCTGATCTTTATCAATGTTTTCTCGACCTTTTCGCAGGGTGCAGCGTGTCCAATAGGACGTAACGATTATTAACCATACAAGTGGCGCAAATTTGCAACAGGGGGGACCAGGATGAGCGTATTTCTTGTCGAGTGATGATCGGAACGGAAGGAAACGCTCGTAGTCGTACGGAAAAGCTATTGCTAGCGTTGATGGCGCGCTTCATGCTCTTTTACGTTGATGGCACGCTTTCTCCTGACGCTCCTATTCGGGCGAAACGTCCAGTAAGTTTACCGGATCCTTCCGGCCTGCCTTTAATGCAGAAGGATCCGATGCGAATTTAATCTTATCCTCCAAAATATTATAAAAGTGCTCTATCAATTATTCTCATACCACTTATCTCTTTTCTGGTTTCTTATGAAAATTATTTATCTTTTTTCTTATTTTTTTATTTTTTTAATTCTAAAAACAAACAAAATAACTCAAATGATCAATCAACTCTAAGAGTTTTAACACTCCTCATTAAAACACCATTAACTATTTCTCTCTTTCTCTCTCTTCTTTTCCATTGTTTTGTTAATAATCTTTCCTCATTATTATGTCATTAACTCTCTCCTTCAATAGCACTACTTTTTTTCTCATCTTTATATATATATTTCAATTTAACTATATACTAGGACCTGTGAGATGCACAAGCTTTATTTATTCTCAAAATCAAAGATGGATATTGTTGCCAATCAAAATGGGTCGAGGGCAAAACTATGAATTCGCTCCCAAGCCGAGGTGTCACTAAATGGGCCAAGGTTTGAGGTGGCTAAGGATTAATAGGTCGGTCCTGCAAGGGATGAAGGAAGACATTAGGGGCCTCAGGTTGGTGCCCAAGGCCGAGACTTTGACTCTCAAGTTAGTACTAGGAGGGGTGTAAGGTGGACGAGGCCTGAGGTGGGAACACTCAAGCGAGGTCACAAAGGAGAATAAGCACTCAAGTGTTTGTTCTTGAGTTCAAGTTTCAGTCCTTTACCTTGAGGGGGTCACCTCCTATTTATACTTGACGCTGCCTAGAGGTAGGTGAGCTTGGACAGCCTAGATGCGGTCTGTACGCAGGGAGCGTGGCCATCCGAGGCTGCCAAGTGACTCAACGCCATTGGTTCCGGAAAGCCTGCCTAGCTCTGCCCTACGCATGCCCTGATTGGGTCCGCTCTGGGTGCCGCCGCCTAACATGTGCCAATCCCCTATTGGAGTGGGCCACATGCGCCTACATTAGATATATTATTGCGCTAATTAAAATGTAATTAAGAGTAAAGATTAATTATATTAAAATTGAGATCAAGGATATATTATTGCACTAAAAATTAATTAACCATAATAAAAATAATTTAGTAAGTCACTTAAATAAAATGAAAATAACTATTAATTATTGTTATTGATAAAATATTTTTATTAATATAATAAAATAATTTAATTAATAAAAGGAATAAGATAAATTAAAAATTAATAGAAAAACTAATAGAAAATTATCTAACAATTATTGGTTTTATAATTAAATTTTATTAATTTAAAACCAACTTAAGTTCCACTAAAAAATAAAAATTTATATAGTTAATTAAATTTCATAAGGAATTTAAATTTAATAAAAAATTAATATAACTAAATAAATTCAATTGTTACTAATTTCAAAAATTAATAAAAATATTAGTTTTAAACATAGTTTAATTATTTTAAAATCAATTTAAATCTCATTTAAAAATAAGGAAAATTATAAAAACCTTTTTGGGTTTTTTAACAATCATATGAAACTCCCTAGTGTTTTGACCTTAACAAAAACCTCCCCTATTGTTTTGAAAAAGGTGCAGATACCTTTCATTAGTCAACATTCCAAATAAAAAATATTGATGTAATGCATTAATTTTACTTCACTTCAACCTTCTTACATTTGTCCAAGAAGAGTAAGGAGAATTATTCTTTGAAAGTTGCCTAGCAAAATAGATTAGTGGAAAGTAGAGTAGAAACTTTAAATTATGTATGATAATGCATTAATAGTGGTAAGGGTATTTTGGTAACTTTAATGTCTTTGTTACCGAAGAGCTAAGGAAAAGGAGGTTTTTGCACTTTTTTTCTCAAAACTATATGAAAGGCCTTTGTTAGGGTCAAAACACAAAGGTGGTTTACAGAATTGTTATAAGAAGATGTTTTTTTTATAATTTTACCTAAAAATAATAATAAATCAATAAAAATTAACATTAAGACACAATAATAATAATACAAATTTATCTAGAGAATAGGAAATTGGCCACTCTCACCAAAGCACAACTTAGATTGCAGTCGGATTAACTAAACATTTAATTGAACTTAGATGGACACCATTTAATTGGAAATGTCATAAAGATCCATCTTTCAATTTTGCTGATAAATAAAGCCCATGTGTCACGCGGGTCCTGACTAATAATTTTTTACAGGTGATATAACATTACAATAACAAGTAATTTACAAACTACTCAATACAAGCAAAGGGCTGCCCACCCCCCAAATACAAACTATTCAATACAAGCAATCATATTACAATTCCTTAGAATATATTTATACACAACTAGTTGAAGTCATTACCAGGCCAAAGTTCAGGGGATGTGAATTGAGAGAATCTAACAATCTCTGCATCACATAAGATTAGAATGTCCATTGATTATCCTTTGCAATAAGAATAGCTTTCCAAATTGCTCTAAATTCAGCCACCACCAGATCCTTCAATGTACCTCCTATACCACCTAAAGCCATAATAAAATTCTTGTTACAATGAAAATATTATATATTGTTATTAATAAACTATACTTAAAATGACTTTAATATTGGTAACTCCTTTGGCATCAATATATACATATACGGACTCAAGAAGTTGAGTACCCGATTTGAATCCAATTATCCCAGATTTGGATGTTAGAACTTGTATTGAATTGAAATTTGAGTTTAATAGGTGAAGGAACAATTTAGCTCCAAATCCAACCAGCCAGTTGGCATCTTGCATAGAAACGATTGAGGGGTGAAGGAATCATTCCGATTACAGCCCTAGTATAAAAATGATTGAGGGGTGGCGGATCTATATATGATCCAACTATGAACTGGTCAAATTCAGATCAACAAATCAACTATAAAAATGATTACAGTCCTATTTCTATTTTGCATCTCTCTTGTGTCTAGTCCTTTTTTGCCAAAGAAAGGCTATTCATTCATTCAAAGATGCTTAGATTACATCCCCTTTGTAAGGAGGATTTGAGAAAATCAGACACTAAAGATTAAATGTAAACACAAGAGACTTGAAAGAGCTCTTTCTTGGCAATAAATGGGCAAGAAAGTTTGGTGGATGTCTCCACCAGGGATACACACAGTGGTTTGGTTTCTAAATTTCAAAAAAACCAAACCAAAAGCATAAACCAAATTTAAAACTATTCCAAACTGAACCAAACCATTTCTAAGTTCAAACCAGACCAAACCATCAATTTCAATTTGATTCAATTCAATTAGACAGTATGGACCGTATAATGAATACCCCTAGGCTCCAAATAGCCAAATTTCTCTATAGCAGGTAGGGATTGTATGCACCCAAAGAAAAAGTCCACTTGGTTCGCTTTGGAATCGAAATTAAAACTAGAATTGGAATTAGATTTGCCTATTCCCATGTCCTCTTTGGTTCAAACGGAAATCAGAATTGAAATTGGAACTAGATGGAATGACTTGGTCGACAGGATAAATATCAAAGTCAAGAGATAGTTCAGTTTAATCAATTTGCAGTTGGCTCTGAGGTAAACCAAAACCCAATCCAGTCTTTCACGTTAAATAATTACCATGTCGATCATTCAATCATATAAAATAAACGTGAGCACGTTAAACAACTGCTATTTTGATCATTCAATCTGATAAATAAACTTGAAACGTCAACACGTTAAGACATCCAACGAGCCCGTCTCACGGTACATGCGCATTTTTTGTTTGTATATTCAGAGCAGCTTCTTTTGGAAATTGGAACCAATTAGGAAGTAGGAAGCAAGGTGCAGAACCAAACAAGATATATTTTCAGAGGCTATTCTGTAGTTACACAAATTACATTGTCTTGGATTCTGTACAGCATCTCTCTCTCTCTCTCTCTCTCATAAGAAGCTTCTTTGAAGGATCCAAACTAGTTCCTTTCCATCAAAGGAATATGTGCCATGATTTTTTTTCCTGCTATATTGGAGCTACAAACTGTGCAATTTTACAGAAACCAGAGAGGGGGAGGGGGGTGTTAGTGAGTAGAGTTACAAGGAAACAGATGACCTTTTACTTTTCGATGCCCTGTTGCAAGTACTGTATCAAATCATAGCCGGCAGTTGTCCACTTGTTGTAGGCATCAACGCATGTGCGAATCATAAAATTGGCTGCCTCACGTTCGCTCATCTCAGGGTGAAATCTCTTTCGAAGATTACCAATTGGGTCGCCCCTGCTGAAGCAAGGTAGGCCACTGTCGACCATCAACAAAACTGTGTTAATGATACCATCCATATATCGTCGTGCGGCAAGATAACCCTTCACGCACAAGCTGCAAATAGTTGACCATAAGACAGACAATCAAGATAACTATTAAGTTATTCAGATGAAAAACCATCATATGTAGGCCAGTGTATACATCATACATGTTGTGTATACGCATGTGGGTGTGTATGTGTATGTCAGTTTGTGTGCGCATACACGTGTGGAGAGAGAGAGATGTAGTGCAGACTTGCCTTACAAACTCGGTCCAGGTTTCACTTTTCATCACTCCAGATGGGTCAAGCAATTGAGTCATCTCGTGACTAAGCTTAAAGTGGGCACTTTCAAAACGCATATTTCCACCAGGTGAAATTTCAAAGATAAAACCAAAATCAATATGAACAAGCCTTCCCTTACTGCATATAAATAAGTTGGGATTAATTGGAATTTGCATTACCCTATTATAAATGCCAAAAATAAAGATGCCATATAACATGGACCAATATCGACATATCTATTTTTATTTGCTTCTAAAATGTCAAGAAAACGACTCAATCAAGGGGAAAAATATAGTTGGAAGCATTAATTGCCCGTTTGTTTTTATTTGACAATTTAAAGATGCAGAAAGGCACTTATCATAATACTGTGTATAGAAAAACCTACATGTAAGTTGATATGGATTTCTTTAAAATAGTTAATCTACTATAAATATTACTTGTTATGTATGAATGCATGATAAGTACATTTTTGTCATTGTGTGTATGTATGAATTGATGGTGGATTTGAGCACAATCCCCAGACTAAAGAAAAAAAAGCACCATGACTATACTGATAAAAAAGTAATTTTTTTTTCTCTTGATTGGGACTCTGTTTCATTGATGACATGATGTGCCCAAATAACTACCCTACATTATCAGAGTGAAAAGTAATGCCCATCTACACAGTTTACAGAAGCTAACCTGGTAGAAGTAATAGTTTCTTGTGTATGGATAAAGGTGCAACTTGGGCAGGCTGTGAATTTGGTTAAAATTTGAAGGGGCCAACCTGAGGACTCAGGCCCCGTGCAGTATCAATTCTTCAAATCAGATGCCAATTTGCACTCCTATGTATGGCCCCCCTAGTCAGACTTGAAGTAACCCTAAAATCTCGAGAAAAGCAACCATACAATAGTATATCTTAGATATAAATAAGGCAATATGAAGCCACATGGAATGAAATCATTTCAGTTTAGTTATTCATAATATTTTAATACATTATCCCTTCATCTAAATGGACCTCCCAAAAGCATTAGTTCATTACCTAAATGGAACCATCCACGGGATGTTAACAAAAATAATTAGATGAGTTATATCTCTAGAAAACCAAAAATAACCTCATTTTTGTTCTTATTAAAGTTGCCATCATCAGTTTATCTTTCATGAATTTTGCACCTAAAATGATTTCATTGCATGTGGGATCTAAATGCCCATAAATTTTCCCAATCTTTCCAACTTTAATGTCCAGTAAACAAAATATTTGGGTAAGGATGAAAGCCTTAGTAAAGCCAACTCTGAATCTTTACTCATGGCTTTTGTGTTGATATTGATATGTATGCATATTTTGAGGATTCTGGCGTAGTTTATAGTTACTCCCTATCATGGAAAATATGATGGAGATTACTTGTCAAAAAGAAGATTGCCATTGTGCCGATCCTTTGGTTGAAGTAAAAGGCTTGCAACAGCATAACCAGCACTGCTAACCATGAAGTTATCACGAGCAGTCTCAAAGCTGGGAGAACCAACAGGCCCAAAGTCCTGTTGAAAAATCTCATATAATCCACCATCAGTGGTTTCACCCATTTGACTTCTGCTCCTTGAATTAGGGACAACCTGTAGATTGAAACCATTATAATAACAGATACGTGTATGAGATGTGATAAACCCCTTTTAAATAATATTCACATATTATAAACTGAAGAAATTAAAAAGATCTGCTTCATTTTTTTCAGCTCTAAACATAAGGATGTGTTTGGTTTGAAAGAAAAGGTAGGGAAACCCATACAAGGTTGTATAGGTTTCCCTAGTTATCTTTCAAACCAAAAACAGCCTAAGGATCTACAACTAACTGGTCTCTGCATTGCTGGACTTCCATTTATATATCATGACTTAATCGTCATGAAAAAACAGCATTTAAGTCTTGGTGTAAAGACAGTTTAGAAGATTTGACGATAAGAATTGATTCTACCTTCATGACTTTCTCTTGTCAAAAATCAACAAAAAAATATGGATTATAATCACAATAGGTTGAGGACAACATCGATTTATTGGTAGAACATATTGGGTACAGACCCAGATAGTCACTTCTTTGACACTACTATACAATCTAACCTTCAACATGATCTTGCCCTAAAATGCTATAGCCTATCTCTCAACTAGGATACATAATACATATCAGTTCATACCAACAACACTTTACATGCTAAGAGGAAGGTGACAAACATATATTGCACCCTTTAAGTTTAAGCATTAACTCATCCCCTTTACATACAGAGACGAGTTTTTGGAAATAAAATTGGTTACACCTTTATTGGTGATTGCTGTTTTGAAACATTTATTGAATTTATAAAGCAGAAAGATGAAAGAAATTACCTAAATTGCTAACTAATTGTTTCCTATTAGTTAAATGCACATTTCAACCACAAAAATATAGAAATCCCAGGGGAAATAAGAGTATATATGTCGTACATAGTATATTGCATCCATGATGTATGCTTTCTGTGATCTTGCACAAATATATTATTTTTAATTTAAGTAAGCACATATCCTAATCAAGTTTTCTGCAAATATAATTCATACAATTCTGATTTCATTGCATTAGTACAACTTAAAATGATGATAATCTTGTGGAAGTTTAACTTCCAAACCTTAAAATGCAGTACAGCTTATTTTATAATTGAACTTGCACTATCTATTCTAGTTGTATGCTTAGGTTATCGCATGATTCTTCATTATGTCTTCATACCTGAATTACCATTCCCAAAACAGCATGCAAGTTTCTTATGCTTCACACAATGTTTCCATGGTTTATAAACCTCTATAAGATTGGTTTCAACTTTATGAAAAATATCCACTTCAGAAATGACCCAAATTTAGACCAACAATCAAGTTTAGAGTCTCAAGCCCAGGAGAAGGAATTCTTATTAACGTATCAAACTAAAGTTCAAAACATACTCCCCTTGAAACCTGTGTAGCACCACTTTAATAGGTCAATTGTTAGAAATGTCAATTTGAAAGCCTGTTGCATGTCAATGTCCAACATCTTAGGTTTCATTTAATTAAGGGCTTAAGTGTTATATCTAGAGATTTACATTCTGCTCAAGGATTTAGTTGAAGCATCAAAAAGCAAAAAGAAAAATGGATGGGTAAGTGGAATATGTATAATAAGAACATAAGAGAAATTAGTTTCACCTCAATTATCCCTCTCTCAGGACCAGTTGGGAGAACACCATATGGAAACAAGTAGAGATTAAGTCCAACTGCTCCAAAAACATCCCTAAGAAGTGATATCACTTGGAGAGCAAGCACATCTTGTCGACAATCATCTCCTACCTATAAAAGAAAGAAATATAGTTTATGTTGATATTTCAACACTATAGACACATATTAATCATCAAAACTAGCAAAATACAAATATACTCATTATAAAGGAAAAAAAGAAATTCTAAAGAAGTGAACACCTAATTCTGCTATATCCAAGCATCCACTAGTTCAAGGTCAACATTTATCAGGACAGGGTTTTTATGGTAAACTAAAAATTTTATGAAGAAAATAAAGAGAAGGATACAGCGAAGAAGAATTAAGATGCTCAATCAAAAGGAGTCCCTAAACAAAATACAACACACTCAGCCCTCTCATCCCTAAAGCAAAAATCTACATTATATACAACATGTGAATTGGCTACACCCTACCACCCAACTAGCGACCTTCACAGGAAAAGCTCAAACCTCACCAAAATCACCAATAACAGAAGATAACCATTATAAACTTTGAACCTCACGACCAGACCTAAACTTCCTGTCGTCTACCCCTACTTCCCTCCCTCTCCTCTTAACACTCTTGGGTAAATTTGTCCACCAACTTGGACAGCCCAATCACTTCCTTGGAGAGAAATGCATCTTTATTCTTCTTACCCCTCCCTCTAAAAATACCAGGTTCCTCCAACCTCTTGGTCCCTACCTCAGTATCTACCTCACTGTCCATTCCTATTGAGTCCTCTCCCATCTTATCCTTCACCTTAATGGATGAATTCCTTCCCTTCCTTTCCTCTTCCTCAGCCTTCTAAAAGTATTTTCAGCAACTGCTATTTTATCTAATGGGAAGAAACCACTTACCTTGTGCACTTCATCCAACAGAACGCCAGGCCCATCCTCTTCAGACTCCATCTCAGCATTTCCTCACTCCTCCCTCTCCTGGACCTTAGCCATGTCAGCCTCCTTTCCAAGGAAACATCTACGGGAAGAGGACAAGTTCTATATTTCCGGAGCTTGGTTGGAGTGGAGACACCACCCCCATTGAAACATCCATCTCTTCATTCATTTCCATGGGGCTACACATGAATGTTTGAACTAACCATATCCTGCACTGACTCACCAGGCACAACACCTTCAGCTGCCAACTCAGAAATTGAGAAGGCAACAAAAGCTTGTTGAGAAAGTCCATTTTTTCTATTTGGTAGTTTTGTGATTTACTTATCAGGGGGGGCAAATATGAAATGTCCGCTTTCCCTATTATGCAGTATCTTAAGAAGTATTAATACGGTCTTCTCCTTTTCTCATTCCTTCTCCTTCAGTCAAAATTTTCTTTCTGATTTCTTGTGCACATCCAATAACTTGGTATTAGAGTAAGCCTTGGTTTCATCTGCAATTGGTTACAGCTCATCAAAGAGCCTATTGATTAGAGATGATCGTTTCTGCCTGGACCCACATTGCCTGACCTATTGATTAGAGATATCCAGGCCTGGGTACAAGATTTTTCTTCCAAGGCCCACCTCAAGCACCAATATAACGTGGGCTGGGCCCAGTACCTAAAATCTAAGGCATACTTTTGTCCATTAATTTTTTATTCTTTATTTTGCTGCTGATTGTATTGTATGACCAGGGATATTCTGGGTCACTTTACTCGGTTATATATATATATATATATATATATATATAGATAGATATATAGATATATAGATAGATAGATAGATAGATAGATAGATAGATAGATAGATAGAGATAGATAGATAGATAGATAGATAGATAGATAGAGAGAGAGAGAGAGAGAGAGAGAGAGAGAGAGATAGAAATTAGAAATACAACCTGGTACCTTGTATATATATATATTAATATATGCATAATAAGATTTTAGTGGATGAGATACTCAGGAGGTTATTGGCTCCTTAATGGCTGAAGCTGAAGTTGGGTTGACTAATATACCTTGGAATATTTTATGACTTAACTATTTTATCTACCAGAAGACAAAGCAGTAAGCCATTCAGTTCAGACACTTCATCCATTATCAAATGGTCCCTTACTCTTTTTTCCTCTTTCAATCATATCTTTATTTCTTGCTGATTTCTTGTGCACATTGAACAAAGCCATACCACCAATGTGCCACCAGCTTCCACATGATGCCTATAGAAGCCTTAACATCCATCACCAACAGCCAAGCAGAAGATATCTTAGAAACCTCCAGCCTCAATGCCAGGAGTGAGAAGGAAACTCTCCTCTTCAATCTGGAGCTCCTTCTAATACACCTTCACCATTGCTCTTCATAGAATTCCTTTAAACTTCTTCAAATTATACTCACATATTTGTTGGGCCTTTAGATGTTGTGGGCCTGTAATACATGTTGAAATAATTTAGTTATTTGTGTTAGGGTCTGTTTGGCTAGTTAAAGCGTTTTTTATTTCAATTTTTTATTTCTGTTATGTCTGTTATTGTACTCACTTACAGCAGGGGCACAAGGGTTTTTTCCCTTCTTATTTCTGCCGCCCTATATAATATAATAAAGCTGGCGCCGCCAGTACTGTTCCATTGCCAATCTCTTCTCTTCTCTTCTTCTTCTTCTCTTCTCTTCTCCTTCTCTTATTTCTGGCCGGCCTCACTGTCAAGATGGTATCAGAGCGGGAATACTGACTGAGAGAACAGATCGAACAAGCTTCCTTCCTTCTCCAACTTGCTGAATCTGGGCAGAACAGAGAGCTGAATCTGGGCGGAACAGAGATCTGAATCTGGGCTGAAGAAAACAGACCCTAACACAAATAACTAAATTATTTCAACAATACATCTTAGGAATTACCAGACCACTGCAACAGGAACTAATGCCCCTGACTCATTTCCCAACTTAACCATCGAATTGAGTTGACTCTGGCCCTTTTTGAGTCTGCTGCCTTGTTGGCTCAATTACTCAGTCTATCAAAACTCTGAAGCACTACACCAAACACCATTTTGAAGCTGACTTAATTCAAAGTTCCATTGCTCTCACCGCTTCCCATTACCTTGAAAAAGAGCTATAGAAGTCAGGGGTAAAATGGCCTTGACTCCTACCACAACACCACTCAAAGAAGACATATCCTTCTACCATTCATTAGAAGTTACATTTTTCTTTTTTTCTTCATTGGGGTGATGAGACTCAGGCTACTCCATGAGCCCCATATTCATATTGATTCCAGGAGACTTCTATGTTTCTTAATATTATTCTCATTAACATAACTTCTGGTTAGCAATCAAAATAAGGCTGCGTTTTGGTTTGATACAAAATAAGAGAAAAACAGAAAGTTGAGGGAAAGTTCTTAAGGAATTCTGCCTAAATGTTGAAAATTAATGGAAAGTAATAATAAGTCAAAACAATTTTCAGAGTGCACAAGCACATTAATGGTTGAGAGAAAAACTTCAAAAATATGATTCTTAGATCTGAAAACACTGGGTAAAATTGATTTCTCATTAGCTGTATAGCATTTTGTAGCAAATCCTTTTGAGAAAAGTCATGACCCATAGGAAAGGTCCATGCTTCAGAGTCCAGGATGAACATATCATTCCACTAGATGCTGAGATCACCAAATAGTTTAGCTGACACCTTGTGATAAGACATAAGAGAAGCCACTATATCATACTTGGTAAGAATTCTATGTTGTAATGTGGTTTTTCTGGCTTTTTATATGTTGTTGGGACTCATCCCAGACTGGGTTTAGCCAGGATATCTTCTTGTACCTTGTTTTCCTCTCCTTAATAAAGGTTGTCCTGTTACCAATCCAGAGATAAGCAAGAAAAAAAGGAAAAGATTACCTTGAAGATGCAAGCTTGGGGTTTAATATCATTGAGATCCCCATCCCTATCTACTACATTAAATGTAATCATAATAGGAACTTTAGCTGCTGACTGTAGGGGAATTCCACTATCCACCTGAATGCCTCGAACTAGTTTACCAGGAGCAGTAGGTAGGTAAAGATCTTCCCCATCCACTTCAATTTTTTCCAGCTCCCTGTTATGGCAAGAAAACTATCACTAACCTCAGATGAAAAAGGAAGAATCTTTAAATAAGTCCAACATTAAAATACATCACAAGGAAATTTTACCTTCGGATACCAGCTCTGCGTTCTTCCTTTGGAAGTGGGTAGAGTACACCAGAAATAGATGTGACTTTATCAAAAAAGTTAAATTCTCTTTGAAAAATGTCACAGGCATTTGGAGTGAAACTATCAATAATCCGTTGCCTAACAACAGGTAGTAGTGCTAGAAATGCACTATTCTGAAATGACAAAAGGTATATATGAGAAAGCACTGGATGATATAGATCTCAGAAATTCAGTCATCCAAGTAGAAATCAATCATGCATCTATGAATTAATGGGAACCATTATGTCAAGGACACATTCAACAGTTCTAAGCCACCAGCTGTAACACTATGGATGCAACCACATCCTCTACATGATAACTATTGTTTTAGTTATACGTTAACTCTTTTACCAATATCTTTCCTTTTTTTAGATGTTTTAGAATAGGAAGAAAAATATGTTATGAGGAGCAACTGAAATAAATGATCAAATAAAAAGAAAGAACATAAAGAAATAGAAAGTACAAAGACAAATTACATGCATCACCTTCTCCCCCCAAAGCAGAAAAGAGAGTTAACCTGAATGCTGCTCTCTCCCAATATATTAACTCCCCTCTAACAAGAGAATCTTCAGGAGGATTCGCTGGTTTTTGGACTCAACAGAACTAGGAGTTCATGCTAATGCCAAAGATCTTTCTCCCCGAATGTGACAACATAGCTGTGTTGTCTCAAACAGACCCTGGATTTTTTCTCCAGATTTTTCTATCCACCAAATCAAGTATGTTGGATGCCTCTAACATTTCAAAGAAGAGAAGCATGTTCTCAGTCTCCATTCCCAAAAGTGCTCCATCATGAAAGCTAAATTACTGTAGCCGAAATAGCAGAAAAGAGAAGAAGAAGAAGAAGAGATGCAGGAATGTCGAACT